GTTCAAGCAATTCTCCTGCCTCAGCCTCCTGAGTGGCTGGAACTACAGGTGCCAACCACTACACCCATCTAATTTTTGTATTTTTAGTAGAGACGGAGTTTCACCATGTTGACAAGTCTCAATCTCTTGACCTCATGATCCGCCCACCTTGGCCTCCCAAAATGCTGGGATTACAGGCGTGAGCCACCACGACCGGCCAGAAATTCTTTTTTTTAAGAAACAGCTCACTGCAGTCTTGATCTCCTGACCCTAAGTGATCCTCCTGGCTCAGTCTCCTGAGTAGCTGAAACTACAGGTATGCACCACCATGCCTGGCTAATTTGTTTATTTACTTTTTTTTTTTTTTTGAGACGGAGTTTCGCTCTTGTTACCCAGGCTGGAGTGCAATGGCGCGACCTTGGTTCACCGCAGCCTCCGCCTCCTGGGTTCAGGCAATTCTCCTGCCTCAGCCTCCTGAGTAGCTGGGATTACAGGCACACGCCACCATGCCCAGCTAAGTTTTTGTATTTTTAGGAGAGACGGGGTTTCACCATGTTGACCTGGATGGTCTCGATCTCTTGACCTCGTGATCCACCCGCCTCAGCCTCCCAAAGTGCTGGGATTACAGGCTTGAGCCACTGCGCCCGGCTATTTACTTACTTTTTAAATGTACTTTATTTTGTAGAGATGGGGGTCTTACTATGTTGCCCAGGGTGGTTTCAAACTCTTGGCCTCAAGTGATCCTGACACTTCAGCCTCCCAAAGTGCTAGGATTACAGCTGTGAGCCACCATGCCTGGCACCTAGAAATCCTTGAGTTTACAGGACGGTAGAAGAAAATAAACAACTTGCTGAAACACTCAAATTCCCTCTGCTTATAAGATTAAAAAAACTGTCTAAAATCAGATGGACCCAATTATTGCCAATGAGTTTGCATAGAAAGAGCTTGTTGACATCACAGCCTGAATTTCTACTATGTTTCATATAACTCCCCCAGAATTTACACAGGGGACCCATGAGGAGGCATGAAGAATTAACTGCACATGTGCACATGCCTGAGAACTTTCCAGACCTCCCCTCCCTTCCACCAATCACCTACTAATCCCAGTATCCATTCCCTAAAACTCTTTCAGTAAAATCACTGCCTTAATGCCAGCACAGGAAGACATACTGGAGCCGGACTCCTGCTTCCTTGCTAGTTGACTTGCAATAAAAAGCTTTCCTTGGCTGGGTGCAGTGGCTCACGACTGTAATCCTAGCATTCTGGGAGGCCAAGGTGGGTGTATCACTTGAGGTCAGGAGTTTGAGACCAGTCTGACCAACATAGTGAAACCCCATCTCTACTAAAAATATAAAAATTAGGCCAGCCACGGTGGCTCACACCTGTAATCCCAGCACTTAAGGAGGCCGAAGCAGGTGGATTACTTGAGGTAGGAGTTCAGAGACCAGCCTGGACAACATGGTGAAACCCTGTCTCTGCTAAAAATATAAAAATTAGCCACGTGTGGTGGCAGGTACCTATAATCCCAGCTACTCGGGAGGCTGAGGCACAAGAATTGCTTGAAGGCGGGAGGAGGTGGTTGCAGTGAGCCAAGATCATGCCACTGCACTTCAACCTAGGTGACAGAGACTCTGTAGGGATTACACACTTGTAATCCCAGCTGTTGGGGAGACTGAGGTGGGAGAACTACTTGAACCCAAACTTGGTGTCAGGTCCACAACTGTAATCGCAGTAGTTTGGGATTCTGAGGCAGAAGGATCTTTTCCGCCCAGCAGTGAGACCATGGTGGGCAACATAGTAAGATCCTGCCACTATCAAAAAACTAATGAAATTAGCCCAACATGGTAAGAATTGCTTCAGCCCAAAACCCTGTGTCATAGTACTAGTTTCTAGCACTTCAAGCAGTGAGCTGTTTTGCTCAGTAACACTCTCACCCTGTCCTTCTCCTCACCTATTAGCTAACCCCTAAAATCCAAACACCTGCAGTGGCTCACATGTGTAATCCCAGCACTTTGGGAGCCTGAGGCCAAGGATCTCTTGAGCCCAGGAGTTTGAGCCCAGCCAAGGAAACATAGTAACAACCCATCTCTACAAATTTTTTTTTTTTTTTTTTTTTTTGACAGTCTCGCTCTGTCCCCCAGGCTGGAGTGCAGTGGCACAATCTCTGCTCACTGCAACTTCTGCTTCCCAGGTTCAAGGGATTCTCCTGCCTCAGCCTCCCGAGTAGCTGGGACGATAGGTGTGCACCACCACGCCCACCTAATTTTTGTATTTGTGGTAAAGACAAGGTTTCACCATATTGGCTAGGCTGGTCTTGAACTCCCAACCTCGTGATCTGCCTGCCTTGGCCTCCCAAAGTGCTGGGATTACAGGCATGAGCCATCTTGCCCAGCATTTTTTTTTTTTTTTTTTTTTTTGAGACAGAGTCTTGCTCTGTCACCAGGCTGGAGTGTAGTGGCATGGTCTCAGCTCACTGCACTCTCCACCTCCCAGGTTCAAGTGATTCTCCTGCCTCAGCTTCCTGAGTAGCTGGGACAGGCATGTACCACCATGCCAGGCCAATCTTTTTTTTTTTTTTTTTTTTTTTTTTTGAGATCAAGTCTTGCTCTGTCACCCAGGCTGGAGTGCAGTGGCGCAATCTCGGCTCACTGAAACCTTCACTTCCCAGGTTCAAACAATTCTCCTGGTTCAGCCCCCCAACTAGCTGGGATTACAGGTGCATGCCACCATGCCCCGCTAATTTTTTGTATTTTTAGTAGAGATGGGGTTTTAACATTGTTGGCCAGGCTACTCGGGAGGCTGAGGCAGGAGAATCGCTTGAACCCAGGAGACAGAGGTTGCAGTGAGCTGAGATAGCACCACTGCAGTCCAGCCTGGACGACAGAGCAAGACTCTGTCTCAAAAACAAACAAACAAAAAAACTAGCTGGGTGTGACAGTGTGTGCCTGTAGTCCCAGCTATATAGGAGGCTGAGGCAGGAAGACTGCTTGAGCCCAGGAGGTCAAGTCTGCAGTGAGTGGTGATCTTGCAACAGAGCAAGACCCGATTAAAAAAAAAAAAAATCCACATCGCTCCTAAAACCTTTTGCTTCCACCAGGGGCATCACCTGTCTAGGCTGACCAAACTCACGGGTCCCCCACCCCCAGCCTCAGCCCCACAGTCTGCATCGCAGTTGGGTGAGTGCTCGAAGATGTAGGATCAAAACCCATGGGCAGCTCCCTCACTGTCAGAACAAAGCTGGAAGCCTACTGGCCTGAGAGGTCCCCCAACCTGCTCACCTCAGCTCATGCTGCTCCTGCCTCCCACCGGCCTCCCTCAACATCCCTGCCGCTCCCAGTGCCAACAGTACAGCTTCCCATGCCTAGGAAGTCACCTTCTCATGGTTGGAGTTTCAGTTCCAGCATCACCTGCTCCCTGAGTCCCCCTCCCATGAGCATCTTGGGTGAAAAATGACCTCGTCTCTCACATGACCCTGCTTTATTTTCTTCAAAGCATTTCTAACTACCTGCAATTTCTTGTTTGAGGTCTGCTGCCCTAACACATAAGCTTCATTCAACCATTATTTACTAAGCAGCTGCCAGGGATAATTGCTGCTGCTAGAATGTGGTGTGACAGAGTAAACAAAAGCTCTTACTTCCTGGGGCTGAGCTTCTAGGACAGGGATTTGGGGCTGATGGTGCCAGGCACTAATACAGATCATGATAAAACAAAGCCAGGAAAGGTTGCCTCCGAGATTTGAAGGGCAGGGTGGCCTCTGTCCACTCTCAGGACAGTGAACAGGCCCCAGCACAGAGCCTGGCACCTGCTCACCACCTGATGAACAGCAGCGCTCACATGTGTGGAGCAGAGGACCTGAGCCCAGCACTGTTCTAAGCATTTCCTTATTTATTTATTTTTGCGACAGGTTCTTGCTCTGTCACCCAGGCTGGAGTGCAGTGGCATGTTCTCAGCTCACTGCAACCTCCACCTCCCAGGTTCAATCGATCCTCCCACCTCAGCCTTTCCAGTAGCTGAAATTACAGGCATGTGCCACCATGCCCAGCTAACTTTTGTGTTTTTAGTAGACACAGGGTTTCAACCGCCTTGGGCCTCCCAAAGTGCTGGGATTACAGGCCCAGCATCTACTCATTTAATATTCACTGAGCGACCCATGAAGCAAGAACTGTGACCACTCACACTCTACTGATGAACAGCACACTGAGGCCCAGAAAGATCCCAGGACCCGGCCCCTCCCCTACCATCACTATGTGGCAGCTGGCCCAATACCCTACCGCCTGCTGGGTCACATGCTTGGATGTCAGCATTTAACGGCAGAAATCAACACACACTCCTTGACTGACAGTGTTCTACCAAGCCCAGGTGATCTATCTGTCATCTGGGATGGAGGGCAGTGGCGAGATCTCGGTTCACTGCAACCTCTGCCTCCCAGGTTCAAGTGATTTTTCATGCCTTAGCATCCCAAGTAGTTGGGATTACAGGCATGCGTGACCACGCCTAATTTTTGTATTTTTAGTAGAGATGGGGTTTCACCATGTTGGCCAGGATGGTCTCGAACTCCTGACATCAAGACATCCACCCGCCTCGGCCTCCCAAAGTGCTGGGATTACAGGTGTCAGCCACTACGCCCAGCCTGGTTCATGCGTATTCTTAAGCATAGAGCAGCAATGTGGGGGAACAGCTGCTCTTAGGTGATCACTCTGCATCCTCCAGGGACTGCCCAGTGGCACCCACACTGCCCTGTACCTTATCGGGTATTCCTGAGAGTGAGTTATTCCTGAGAAGCAGCTCTGGTTCCAACTATTTCACAGCTGAGGACACAGGGACTGAGCGCTATGCATGGCTGGGGAGCAACCTGAACCGTGGATGATGCCTCTACAGCTCCCCTCCTCCGTATCCTCACCTCCCTGAGTCTTTCCTCCACCTTCTACCCCGTCTCACCTTCAGGGCACAGGAAGGGTCAGCAGCCACAGCTGTGGACCACCCGCCACCAAGTCCCCACCAAGCCACAGCAGAGCCTGGAGTTGAGCAGACAAACCTTTATTCCTGAGGCTAAAACATGTACCAGTTCCCTCCCTGTACCCAGCCAGTGCCAGCCTGACTATAGTCCCCTGTCCCAGGCCTGAAGCACTGAACTTGGGAGTCCCAGGACCTCCATCCCTGAGTTGTGTGTATATATATGGAGGGGACTCCTAGGTAGCACCTGGAGGTGGCCTAGGGGTGAGGGGCTTCTCAAGGGTGCCCTGTCACAACCTTCAGAGGTACACAGTCTCAGGCAGGTTGCAGCATGGTCAGAGTCTGGTGACCTGGGGGAGCAGAGGAAGGGAGGCTCCAGTTACTTTCCAAAGGACACAGACCAACCCCGGCCCCCAGGAAGAGCTTTATCCAAAGACAGCAGGGAAAGCACTGGGCCCACTGACGATGACTCCATGGCCACCAGGAAAGACTCCCTGGAGCTGGGCCAGGGTGGGGACAAGCAGTAGATTAACAAAAAAGAGCTTGGCAGGCCAGAGGTCTCGACTCACTGAAACACGGCTGTTGGGGACAGGCCTCGGGTGTTGGAGGGCAAAGGTGACGGCATCGTGGACAGAGGCAAAGAGATGCTTCTTGGTGATAGATGCATCGAAGAAGTGCCCAGCCTCAAGCTGGCTGACCACAGGGCCTGTGGGCAAGGAGTAGGCCTCCCCTGACTCTCAGAACCACCAGGAACTCAACTCCCAGGAGCCAACAGAATGCCCTGACCTCAGCACCCCTGACCTCCACCCCTGGACTCACATCACTTGTAACTCTGGACTCTTGTCTCCCAGGATACCTCTGATCTCCAGTTCCAGAGAAAGATTTTTCCCTTGTGCTACCTGGAAAACTCCTTGGTCAAAAGCACCCCACCCTCTTCCCAGGTCCCTCCTGCTGTCCCCACCCTACTCACTGTGGCAGGCCGCCATGTACACCTCCACCTCGATCTCCCGGAAGTCACGGAAAATCTGTAGCAGAAAAGGGGGCCAGCCTCAGAGGGAGGCTCAGGGACTTCGTGGGCGGCTCAGGCAGGCTTGGGGAGGGAATGTAGAGGGGGAGCTTTGAGGATTTGGGGAGTCAGAGGCTTGGAGTGCTCTCAGGGAAAGTTACGGGGTCACTGTGGAGGCTTGAGGGGTCTTGGCCTGCCCCCGTCCTTACATTCTTCAGGCTCTTGAGGCACACAGTGTCCACGAAGGAGAGAGCGCTCAGGTCCAGGATGAGGCTGTGGAAGTCTGGCTGAGGCAGGCCCAGGGCCTTCAGTGTGGCCACATCTGCGGCCTTAGAGTCTTCTTGACCACTGGCTGTTGCATCTTCCATCTTATCCCCTGGGCTCACCTGATGGGGAGCCAGACATGCTGCCAGGGTCACCCATGAGAGGGTGAAGGCAGGACTGGACGCACACAGACATGCAGGGACACGCAAGTCAGATGCGGAGCATGCATGGGACACATAAGGACCCAGACATGGGGGAGTCACATAGGTATAAAAAGACAGGAAGGACAGATGTGTGAGGACACACAGAAGGCCACACCCAGATGTGCATGTACTGGTCTGCTACCTCCTTGACCAAGGCTGCACAAGGACATGAGAAGGGACAGTGCTGGGAGACCCTGTCCCATTCTCCTCAGCCAGGTCCGAGTGGGGAGGGGGCCCAGGAGCAGACCAGAATAGACACGGGTGTCCACATAACACACATGCACACGCCTCGGCACCCTGCCCTGTCCTGAGTCTCTAATTAAGCATGGCATCCCCTTTGAACCCTAATTTTTTTTTTTTTTTTTTTTGGATACAGAGTTTTGTTCTTGTTGCCCAGGCTGGAGTGCAATGGTATGATCTCGGCTCACGGCAACCTCCACCTCCCGGGTTCAAGTGATTCTCCTGCCTCAGTCTCGGGAGTAGCTGGAATTTCAGGCACGTGCTACCACACCCAGCTAATTTTGTATTTTTAGTAGAGACAGAGTTTCTCCATGTTGGTCAAGGTGGTCTCGAATTCCTCACCTCAGGTGATCTGCCTGCCTCAGCCTCCCAAAGTGCTGGAATTTACAGATGTGAGCCACCAGGCCTGGCCTCCAATTTTTTTTTTAAGAGACGGGGTGTTGCTTCATTGCCCAGGTTGAATGCAGTGGTTATTTACAGGTGTCATCAGAGCGCACTGCAGCCCTAAACTCCTGGGCTCAAATGATTTTCCTGCCTTAGCCTCCTAAAAAGCTGGGACTACAGGCACACACCACCACACACCTGCCTCTGACCCCTAGATTTTTTCCCATACACCCAACCCCTTTCCTCTACCCATGAGCAGACTCTGCGGGGATCTTGTGGCACCTACAAATTCAGAATCTTCATTGAGGCCTAAGAGTCTAGGCCTAGATTCTGTGGCATATCACGAATCTCCCTGCAGAGTATCTGAGCCAGCTCCCATTCCTCCTGCCATCGGCCCAACACCCTAGAGCCCACAGCTGCTGGGTCCATGGCGTTCCTCATGAGACATGCGTGGAGGCTGCATCTCTGCAGCTTACAGCTGTCCCCTCCTTTCCCACCGCCAGCCTCACCATCGCCTTGCAGTCCTCAGCGTCATTACTCCTCATGTCTTCCAGGCTGGTGTTGACATTAATGGAAACTGAGGTGTCCTTGGAGGAGGCAGCCTATGCCAGGGAAGACAGGGGATGGGAAATGGCTATCCCAGCTGCCATGACACCGTCACACAGGCCTGCTGATGCCCCGGTGTTGGGCAGGTAGCTGGGCCAGGACTGAAAGCTGTGGGACCCGGGGCAGCCATGCTGAAGCTCCTGGAACAGCCGTGAAAGGAAAGAGGACTGTGATGGTTCACACTGTCACTGGTTCAGATGATGGGAGAGAAACAAAATTCCACCCAGAGTCCAGACCCGCTAGGGAAGGAAGCAGGGTCCCTGGGAGCATGAGGGAGAATGGGGAAGGGACGAGGAGTGAGGATGAGTGAGGAGGCCAGAGGCCAGAGGCCAGGAGAAAGGCAGGGGTGGGGAGCAGAGGGCAGGGGACAGCCAAAAGGGGCCCTGCCTGTTTCTGAAGCTTCTTCTCCTTCTGCAGTTGCTTCAGCTTCAGTTGCTCCTGCTTCTTGAGCAACTTCTTCTTCTGGGAGATGAGGAGGTCGACATCCACACCGCACTGGAGCCAAACGTCAGAGAAGGAGCAGTGAGCTCTGGGGGAGCTGGGGCCTGATGCCCACTCTGGGGACCCCGCCTCACCCTCTGCTTCAGTGCATCACTGTAGAACTCAGCGTTGGCAAAGTACATGGTGGCTGAGGAGCGGAAGACCTTCACCCCTGGAACTTCCTTGGCCTGGGGATGGGGCAGAACTTGTGGGGGCTGATCTCCCCTCTCCCGGCTTCACCCTGTTCTCCTGCCTTTCCTTCCCTAGCATGCCCAGTGCCTGCCGCCACCCAGCCCTCTGCTCCCCAGCCTAGAGTCCAGGCCCTCCCAGGGACTTGGACCATAAGCCCGACAGTGTCCTCCCCATCCCTCCACCTCGCCTCTCCCTCCCCATCTCTCCTGCCACCACCCAGGCAGGCTTCACAGGCTCTTAGCCCTTCTCTTGGGGTTCCAACCCCTGCCTTTTGGTCTGTTTTCTGCACCCAGACAGAGGTCCTCCTAGGCTGTCATCCCAATCAGACCTTCCCCAGCTCATACCCCATTTAGGTCACAGCCCAGGTCTCTGCTGGGCTCCAGGCCTGCATGGTGCAACACCCCTCTTCTACCTGGCTGGGCTCCTCCTCTCCCATGTCTCAGACCCCTTAGCTCCTCCTCGCACTGCCTAATCGCACTGCACCCATGTTGCAGGGAACAGCCTTGTTTTCTTCCAGAGTACGCCACCTATAGTCCCAGCACTCGGCCCAAAACCTCTCAGGAGGTCAATGGATGACTAGGGATTTAGTAACTCCACTGATCAGATCAGGAAATGCTTCCGTTCCATCCTGGTGCTCCAGGGAGCTGCTGCTCTGGCTCTGTCTGACCTGGGGCTGCTCTGCAGGTAGAGCTTGTGCTGTTGACTCCATGACAGACCTCTCCCCGTCCCCATCTCTGTCCACTCTCCCTCTGTCCCTTCCTACCTCTAGAGGGGGTCGTAGACCCAATCTCCTCCCTTGAACTCCCAAAGACCAAAGCCAAAGTGTCCTCAGCCCCCAGTGTCCTGGCCAAGTGTGGAACAGTCCCACAAAGGCCCATTCTTCCTCTGTCTCCCCATCCACGCCATCCAGCTCACCTCTGAGTACTCTGCCACATCTCTGTAAATATCTGTGTCTGGCACCTGCCCCAGGATGGAGTAGTGGGGCCTGTGGAGGAGAGAAAGAACGAACAAAGAGGGGACAGAAAACGGGGACAGCAGAGGAGTTTGAAGAAGCCTGAAGTCCCCAGATACGCGTGGAAAGCTGGGGGGAACCCTGTGGCATTCCCTCACTAGCTAGAATGGGGGGACCAACATAATGAACTCACCTCTGCGTCCGGACCACCACGAGCAGCAGGGAGAAGATGACTGCAGCCACCAGGCCAAGGTCCAGGTTCAGCAGGATGGTGGCCATGAAGGTCACCAGCCAGATGAGCTGAGAACAAAAGGCAGTGGCTGGAGAGTGGCGAGGAGCCACAGGGCTGCCCAGTCCCTGCCCTGGGCTCCCAGAGCACTCACCAGATCCGCCCGATTGGCCTTCCAGAGGGAGCACACGTCACTGAGCTGCCGCAGCATGCCCTTCAGGTTCACAATGACGATGGCCGCCAGGACTGCCTGGGGTGGGGGCAGTGCTGCCAGGGGCCATTGAGGGCACCTGATGCTGACAACCCCACCATCGAGGCATGGCCAGACTGAGCCCAAGCACTCAGACAGAACCCCAGACACGAACCCCCACCCAGCCCCTGACCCTGACCACTTGGATCTGACTCTGAAGGGTTCTAACCCCTGACCCTTGACTCCAAATTTCTTTTTCTTTTTTTTTTTTTTTTTTTGAGGCGGAGTTTCGCTCTTGTTACCCAGGCTGGAGTGCAATGGCGCGATCTCGGCTCACCGCAACCTCCGCCTCCTGGGTTCAGGCAATTCTCCTGCCTCAGCCTCCTGAGTAGCTGGGATTACAGGCACGTGCCACCATGCCCAGCTAATTTTTTGTATTTTTAGTAGAGACGGGGTTTCACCATGTTGACCAGGATGGTCTCGATCTCTCGACCTCGTGATCCACCCGCCTCGGCCTCCCAAAGTGCTGGGATTACAGGCTTGAGCCACCGCGCCCGGCTTGACTCCAAATTTCACCTTGAAGAGCTCAGCCTTGAAAGACAGGACCTAACCTTGTGTCCCCACCCCTCGACTGAACCTAGACTGGCTGATCTGAGCCCTGGCCTGGCCAAGACCTGAAGCCTGGCTGGGTGGGGGCTCACCTTGGGCAGGCAATGGAATAGTTCCCCAAGTTTGACAATGATGAGGAGGATGAAAAGGGAAGAGATGGCTCCAGCAACCTGTTGGGGGAGGGGGCGAGCAGGGGTGAGACCCCCTTCCCCAGGCAAAGCAGTGTGCATGTCCACGTCCACCCCCATGCCCACACGCGAAGCCCACCTGCGAGTTGCCACCGGTGCTCTCCTGTACCAGGCTCCGAGACATAGAGCAACTCACGGGGAAGCACTGGAAGATGCCTCCAATGAGGTTACTGAGGCCCAGGGCCACCAGCTCCTGATGGAGGGAGTGTGGGTGTGAGACTTAATAGAAGTGCCTGGCTGCTGTCCCACTGTGTCTAGGCCTGTGTATCCCCAATCTCATCCCCACCCAGCGGCCCCCAGAGACTCGATGCTGTCCCACACATCCTGCTCTCCCACCCCTAGTGCCCCACGTGGCCCTAGCACATCTGTTGTCTCCCCATGTCCCACCTGTTCCTCCCCCAACCCCTTGCTGGCGCCTCCATACACCTAGATGCTTCCTACACATCCCACATCACCCAGACCTGGTTGCTGTCCACCCGGTAGCCGTGCCTCAGGGCGAAGATCTTTCCCAGCGAGATGGCAATGGCGAACCCAACCAGGGCGATGGCGAAGGCGCTGCCCATGAGCTTTGAGAACAACTGGGAGTTGGGGGCCACTGGGGGGACCAGCCTGTGAGAGGCATCTGTGAGGCCAAAGCAAGGTTTGGACCTGGCTACCCAACCCTCCCTGACCTGACGGAGGCCAGAGCTCACCCTGTAGGGATGTTGCCCACGACGTCTACATCAAATTTTTGCTTCAGATCCATGCCATAGGAGATACTTGTGGCCCCAATGAGCTGTGAGAGAGGACACAGTCAGGGAGGCAGGTGCTGGCATCATGGTCGGGACGATGAGTAAACCACGTGGGGTGAGGAGGGAGACATCAGGCAAACCCTTCTTCAGGGGTGGGGTGAGAGATGGGCAACACCATTTCGGGTATGGGGAGATGCTGTCAGGGGCAGGAAGAAACCAACATAGGGGCTTTCTGCTGTGCCCCCCACAATACCCAAGAACTCTCCCAGTCCCCCTCGAGCTGGCCCTCAAACACAGGAGGCTGCCCGCGCAGCAGGGACCCAGCCTGACCTGCTCTCCCCGCCAGCCCGCCGCTCCCTGGCCCTCGAACCGTGAGCAGCTCCCCGGGTACCGGCATGGGCAGCTGCTGCTGCAGCTTGTCATTCAACAGCTTCACCAGCACAAGCACCACCCCCGCCACAGCAGCGGTGACCATGGTGCCGACCTTGCTCTGGGGCAGCTTCCAGCAGACCTCCAGCACTGTCTGAGGAGAGGCAGGGTCACAGCCAGCACTCAAGGCCACAAGGCACACCTACCCCTCCCTCCCCCTGCCCTCACTCACATAGATGAGGGACAGTGGCCCAGAGTGGCTGCTCAGATGAAGCCCAAACACATACTTGAGCTGGGAAACGAAGACCTGCACAGCCGCAGCTGTGGTATAGCCTCGGACGAGAGGCTCTGACAGGTAGGTGACCACGAAGCCGAAGTGGACCAGGCCTAGCCCGACCTGTGGGGCGGTCAGGGGCAGTCAGGGGAGGCAGGGGTCCTAAGGGTAGCCGACAAGGGGTGCAGGGCAAGTAGGATGGGAGGGGATGAGTGGGCAGCAAGAGGAGGGCAAAGATGGTCAGACACCCAGGGGAATGCAGAGGGGTAGCGGGAGGAGCAGAAGTGATGGTGGGGGCACGTCCTCCTGACTGTTCCACACCTGGAAGAGGCCGACCAGGACACTGAGTGTGGAGGCCACCTGCACCCGGGCAGCATTGATCGTGGAGTCATTCAAGGCCTGTGGGGCCAGGGATTCTGTCACACTGCCCACCATCACAGACATAACAGCAAAGGTCCCTGTAAGGATAGCACAGGGCAGGTCTGAAGGGGAAAGGACACTGCCCTGCCCTAGTCTTAGGAGAAAGGCCGGGAGACTTCCACTTCTGGACAAACAATCTCAGACCATGGCTGTAGGAATGGGGGCAGTACTGGGGTTCAGGCATGGCCAGGCCAGGAGTGAATCCTGAGCTCATGGGCCCTTAAGGGTGGCTAGAAATGCTGGCTCTGCCGGGCGCGGTGGCTCACGCCTGTAATCCCAGTACTTTGGGAGGCCGAGGTGGACGGATCACCTGAGGTCAGGAGTTTGAGGCCAGCCTGACCAACATGGAGAAACCCCATCTCCATTAAAAATACAAAAATTAGCCAGATGTGGTGGTACATACTTCTAATCCCAGCTACTTGGGAGGCTGAGCCAGGAAAATCACTTGAACCTGGTAGGCGGAGGTTGCAGTAAGCTGAGATTGCGCCACTGCCCTCCAGCCTAGGCAACAAGAGCGAAAGTCCACCTCAAAAAAAGAATGAAAGAAAGAAAAAGAAATGCTGGCCCTGCCTCATCTACTCTGTCCCACCTGTGTCTACTGATCTAGGGACACAGACATTCTCTGTGGACTAGGGAAGGGGTCAGGGCTTGCCTCAGGCTGGTCAGGCCTCTGCTAAGTTCCAGGCCCCTTGGGCTGCCTCCCCCACTCACATCTTCCTGGAGCCAGGGCTTTGAGGTCCCCTGCCTCTGTGGTCCTATGGTCAGGGGTCTAGTCCTGCCTGGGAATGACTCGTGGGCTAGCCCAGGATGCAGCACCAATGCCACCCTCTTCCCCTGCTGCTCCTGCCCTGCTCAGCACCCCCTCACCCTGTCCTCCATGGTAGATGTGGGCATCCTCCTGGAACGCTAGGCCTGCCCCCACTTACCCACAGAGATGTGCCGGGAAGTGCCAAACAGGAAGTAGATGAAGACAGGGTAGAAGGAGCTATAGAGACCGAACACGGGGGGCAATCCAGCCAGGAGGGCGTAGGCCAAGCCTAGGGGTAGAATGGTAGCAGTGTGGGCCTGGAAGGCGAATCTTGAAAAGATAAGGGAATCCCAGCCCTGGTCCAGGTGCCACAGTTCCAAGATACAGGCCATGGCCCCAGTTTTGGGCATCACAGACCACAGGGTTTCCGGGCCAAGGCACTGAAGGTGGCTCACCCTGTGGAAGCTGCATGATAGCCACACTCAGGCCGGACAACAGGTCACCCAGGAGCCAGTCACGCACAGGATACCGGGGTAACCAGACCAAAATCGGGAGGTGTTGGAGCAGAAGGGCATGGGCCCGAGCACGGGAGCACCTGGGGACATGGTATGAGGGGTAGGTGGTCAGAACAGGAGCTACCTGGGCCCTGCCAGCATTCCCAGACCCCAATCTCAGCCTTACCGCAACCAGGTCTGCCACGGGCGGGCCCTAGGTGCTGAGCCCCGGTGCCCCAGTTCCTCCAGATGCTCCTGGTTCAGCAGCGGCCGTTCCATGTGGTAGTCTCGCTTCCGCAGCTCCATTGCTTGTGTTGCAGGCAGCAGTGCCTGCGTGTCCCTCGGTCTGGGGTGGCAAGACCACACAGATACAGTGAGGGCACCCCTGGCCCAACCTCCCCCATACCTCCGCCTAGGGCTAAAGAGTTACCTACCTGATTTTTCCAGGCCCCAAGATCAAGGTACAGTATTCCAGCCCCCAGCTGGCATCTGTGAGCCACATGCCCAAACCCAGACAGGGGCAGTACCTGAACTTTGGCTGGTGGAAGCCTCTTTCTAGGACAAAGTCCCCCAAGAAGGGACTACAGGATGAGCATGATCTATACCTCCAGCCAAGATATGGCTGCCCAGTGTTGGACATTCTACCAGTCCAGGCACCAGGCTGCCCCTCTCCGGGCCAATCGCCAATCCCTGTCCTGTCCCCAGGTCCTCCTCCAGCTGCCCTGGGAGCCCAGTGCTGGCTGAGAGCACACTCAGGGAAGGGGTCCAGCAAACCAGGGGTCCAGTTCCTCAAGCAACCCTCTTCCCAAGCCTCAGGCCTCAGATGAGACCCACCCCTCTAAGGAAAGTATTGGGGCCAAGCTTGCCCCTGGGCCTCCAGCCCCAGGGTCCAGGTGGTAGACAGCTCAGGCCTGGTCTGGGGAAGGCAAGGAATGGCTCTCACCTGAGAAGAAGGTCTTTCTTGGAGCGGGAATCTCTCACCTAGAGGGAGAGGACCCCACCTGGAAAGGGAAGTACCCACTTGAAGTGGGGGAAAGAGCTCATCTGGGAATAGAAGCTTTCAATGGGAATCTCAGCTAGAGGGATTTCTAACCTGCCAGGAAATGTTTACCAACCAGGCAAGTTCTGACATAGGGGGAATCTTTCCTCTGCCCAGAGGCTCCTACCTGAAGTCAGAGAACGCTCTCACATGGGAAGAAAAGACCTAGAGGAAGAGGGTTCTCACCTAGAGGTAACTCTCCCCTAGGGGAAGCTCTGACCTGGCGGAAGGCTCCTAGTGGAAAGGGGAAAAGCTCTCACCTGGGAATAGATCTAACATGGGGATCTTACCTGGGGGAAAGCTCTAGCCTGTTGGGAAGCTTTCACCAGTCAGGAAAGTTCTGATCTTGGAAAAGCCCTGACCCGCGGAGAGGATCCCACTCGAGGGACAGGAACTCCCCTGGGAGGGCCTCTAACCTGGCTGTACGGTTGGAGGAGTTTGGAGTGGGTGCAAGGAAGATCCTCATAGACTTTTGGCACCGCTGTCTCAAGGAGATCTTAGAGCCCCCTCTCCCTTCCTACAAGAGTCACTCAGGTCTTCTTAAAGGACACCCTCCCCGCACAACGTGAGACACGCGTCTGGAGGGCGGAGCCTTGAGTATTGGCCCCTTCCTTTAGGAGGGCAACTGGGCCCAGGAAGGCCAGAGTGCTCACTCCCCGGGTCAGTGGAGCTGGGTGGACTCGGGCCCTAGCTGAAAGCAGCTAGTCCACGGGCCGCCGCCAGGGACTTCCGGCCCTCACACACCCCGGCGGGCACATCGCCTGGCTGGGGTCCTCCGCACGCAGCTGCTTCCCTGTGGCCCGAGCTGTCCCTCGGGAGGCACTCCAGAGGCTTCTCCGCACAGCCCAAGGGGCTGGGGTCGCGCCAGCTCCCGCCCCCATCCCTTGCTGCAGAGGGGCAGCCGCCTGCAGAAAATCGGCAAAGAGGTAACCAAGCCGTCGCAAGCGGAGAATGCTTGCTCCAGCTAGGCCACCGTGGAACTCACCCCGACGCATCCGCCAGCCCCATGGCTCGCAAGCACTCCCGCACCCGCGGCTCCTGCGGCTAAGGCGAGAGGCCACTACGCTCCGGAAGGCGGCGCCGGGACCAGGCGAGGCAAGCGGCGCGCTCCCGGGGGCTAATCCCGGGGCAGGACGGGGAGGTTTGGGCCAATCAGCGTGCTGGGGCGGGGCCTAAGCAGCGTTCTCCGGGCTGGACGAGCTTAAGGAGGAGGATTTAACCGCTTCCTCCCCGGCTGCCTGGGTTTGTGCGGGCCCCCTAACTTCTCGCCCGGCCCTCTGCCCCAGCTGGATAGGACTGCATAACTGGAATTAAGCACCTGCGCTGGATGCTTAGTTCCAGTTCTGCAGTCTGATCCAGCCGCGCCCCCAGGCCTTGAGTAGTTTGAGGCTCATCCTAGGTCCTGGCTCTGGAGAAGGTACTCAAGGAATGGGCAAGGGAAACTCCAGTAGCCGGCAGGCCTAGGAGTGTGGCCAGTAACTCAGCCTTAACTTTCATGGGGGATCCAGGTCTGTGGGGCCTCTCATGCCTCCAACCGAGAGCGCCGCCCTCAGGCTTTCTGAAACTAGGCATGTCTCTCAGATCCGGAGCCGACGGTCCCCAAAACCTCCCCTTTAATTCTGGCTACTCAGGCCAGGAATGGTTGAAGGATCCCTCCGCTGCACTAGGTACAGCCGGGACATCGCTCCCATAAGGTTCGTGCGCTGGCCGCCGAGGAGGATGGTGGGGGTCAGTGCTGGTGACTGGCAAGGCAGGAACTGCAAGAGCAGTTCCTAGGGTTGGTTTCACTCCGGGTGAGGGTAAAAAATGCCGGTCCAGGGCTGCAGACCCTGAAGAATTAGGAAGTCCTGGTTCTGATGCTTTGACCAGGGGGCAGGTTCTCCTCAACACCTGTGCTCCAACTTCGGGCCCTAATCACGCGGTGAGGGGCCAGATTTCAAGGTGAAGGAGATGGGACTTGGTCCAAATCTGCCATGAAGTGAGCTAAAAATAGCTGGATATTCCTGGGAGGGGCTCAGATTCCTCCCAAAGGTCAGTCTGGATTGAATCTTTCACAGCCGCCATCCTACCTCCCCAGCCCTCAACAGGAAAAGGCAACAACTGTTTTCTATAGAAGTTTATTCCCAAAACAGATCGCGGCTTCACGGAACAATTTACACAGACAGGAAAGGGGGCCGCTGGGCTGGAGGAGGGGAACCCCCAGAGAGGGGCATCTAGGAAACCTAGGACATAGCAAAGACACCCTCCCACCCCCAGCAGGCCACTCAGCCCTTCAGGAGCTGGGGTCCTTCTGGGTAGGGAGAGCTTGGGTCCTGGCTGGTGGAATTTAGCTCCAGTAAGTGAATTTGAATTTATAATCTCCCAGGAAACTGCCTCCCAAGAGTATGCATGGGGTGGTGGGTGAGGAGGTGTCTGCACAGACCACCCCCCAACCCTGCACAACCACTCCCCAGTGGTAAGAGGACGTCTACTCTCAAGGTCTTCTGGTTTGCTGTTAACAGGGAGACTCAAGGCTGACCTTTGGCCTGGAAGAACTGGGGGTCAGAAAACCCCTCAAGGTGGCCAGGTCCAGGGTCCTCACAGGTAGGTCCTCCAAGTCCCTCTCCCACTTTCCCTATCTTTCACTTGTAAACAAAGGAAAAAGAAATTCTCTACTGTAAACAAAGTGTAAAAGCTCAGTTTTGAATTGTAAACAAAGTAAAAACATTTTTTGAATCTGGACTTGTAAACAGTAACAAAATTTTAAAGTCTCCAGTTCTGGACAGCAGACAAAATAGCAAAAGTAAGAGTTTTGTGAACAGGGTCCTAACAGTCATTTTTCCCTTTTTAAGGGAATAAAGGAGGAGTGGAATGGAGTCACTTCCTGCAGCCCAGGTGCCTAGGGCCACAGAGGATCCTGTAAACATAGGAGGCAGTGGCACCTACATTCTGGGTCTTGAATTCCCTTGTTTCTGCTCCCTTTGCTCACCTTCCCACCCTACCCTTCAGAATCAGTTCAAGCAGGGGGCAGTGTCCGGGAATCAAATGGCACCACAGACAATTTTGCTCGCCGCAGGGGCAGGTGAATGACCCCTCCACCAACCCTCTGCAGGAATGTCTGACTAGAGGCCTGAGCCCCTCCCTGTGGGAGACAGGGAAGCCTTGCTCTGTAAACATGACATCAGCTGCTCCACTAGCACCCCACAGCATCAGTCCTAGGTCATAAGGCAGTAAGTGGCAGGGACTCCACATAATAAACACACACATCCACCAGGAGGGGAGCGAGCATGAGCGAGCCCCCATGAGGAAGTCAGAGGACCTCTGTTTCCAAGACCAACCCCCAGCCCCAGAAGTTTGGCCCTTGGGGCTTCAAGAAAAAGCAAAGAACAATTCTGTACTTTGAGCCCCTGATGATATTCAGATCAACCTGGGGGTGGAGTAAGGGGAGGAAGGCATGCGTCCCACCCATTTGACTCCACCCCAGGAAGAAGAGAGAGATGAGCATATGGTTTGCTAATGACCCAAATGGGGCCAAACTGCATCTGTCTCCCTCTGTCCCCCTTCCCCTCCCAGCCCAGCATCAAACCCCCCAGGAGACAGAAAAGCTGAAAAATAACATAAGCATCTCTCTGGTTACAAAGGTACAAAACGTATAAAAGTCTCCCTCCAGCCCCCCTCGCCCCCGCACCTGTCACACGCATGCTCACAGATGCGCATGGACCATCAGCCCTGTCACACCGGAGAGAGCTGGGACACACGCCGCTGGGGAGCAGGAGGCTGCCTTGGGATCCACCCCCACTCCTGGAGTCTCTCCTGTTAGCCCAGATCCTCCGTCGCCCTCAGCTGTTCCTCATCCATGCCGTCGTCCCCTCAGGAGTGACCCTCACTTCTGGGAACTCTGGAGGCGCATGAGGAAATCAGAGGTTGATGCTGAGAGGACTCCGGGTCAGATGGCTCTGGACTCCACATTTGGCCTGGCTGCTCCCCTCGCCTCCACCATTGCCCTTGCCTCTCAGCCCCTAGCCCTTCATGCCCACTCCGGGGTTCTCAGAGTCCTCTATTCCACATCCCTAGACTCATCAGCAAGGCTCCTTGGCCACCCAGGTCTTTTCTCTTAAGTGCTTCAAAAGTACCAACTGTGTACAGATGCTATGTTGAACACTTGATAGACAATTGTGTCATCGATCTCCACATCTCAAAGAGTTTGTTACTACAGACCCCTTTATAGATGAGGAAACTGAGGCCCAGAAAGGCCTGCCTCTGCCCAAGGTCACACAGCTCATAAGGTAAGACACAGAGCTCAAATTCAGACCTGTGGAACTCCAGAGCCAGGACCCCTGCTCAGCCCCTATTCGCCTTCCTACACAGCCGGACCTCAAAGCTACACTGCAGGGGGGCCCAGGCAGTAGGTTAGCTCCCTCTGGTCCCCACCCCCCCAGCAGCCCTCAGTGCCCAGGCCCAGGACCCCCAAACCCCTGTTCCTTCCTCCTTTCTTGGTGCTCTCTCTGCCCTGGGTCCTGCTCAGTTCTGTTGGCCCCTGCCCCGCCCCCAGGGGCCCCTTCCTCCCCAAGCCATCTCTTACCCCATAAAACCCCAGAGCCTGACTCAGCTGTTTTTCCTCATTGAAACTCAACTCTCCTCTTGGGTTACAAGATCTGGCAGCTCCTGGTTCCTCCCCACTCCCACCAGCCCCTCTCGGACTTGTGTGTATCCAGCTACTTCCTGGGTCTGTCTGCCATCCCCTTCCCCACAGATGCCCCTGAGATGAATCAGGTCCCAATTCAGTTCCTGTGAGCCCCACCCCAAAGTGTCCACAGACAGGAGGAACTCAATATTGACTGAATACATTGATGAATGAATGATTTATCCTCAACAAAGTAAGCTCTTCAGCCTGGTATATCCTTGCACCACTTCCAGCCTCTCCTTGCCTTATGCGATCCCCTAGGCCAAGCCTTCCAAGCAAGGCCTCCTGCTCTCCCCCACTGCCCCTTGCATATTCCAGGTCACCTCCCACTTCTAGGCCTCAGCTTCTGCCCTCCCCTTCACTTGCTCAACCCATTGGAAGGTATCTCTCTCTCCTTAGCCTGGGAGATGCTGGGAAGGCTGGCTGGCCACAGTCACACAGACGGCAAGTCCCTGCTAGTCACACCCCCATTTCTTGCCAGATTCCTGTCCTCAGCCTGTGGCCCTCTGGCTGTGCTGAGCCTAGGGTAGCCCACAACTGTGTGCAAACCCGCATCCCCTTCTGTGGCAGAACACAGAGCAGGGTACCCAGGAGGTTGCCCTAAGTTGAAGAGGGCGCGAGCAGGTGGCTGCTTACTCTGAGTCGGGCGACAGCTCTGAGATGCTGTGAGACGTGGCAGAGCGTGGCGTGGAGGGCCCAAGCACAGAGGCTGTGGCAGAAGGCGTGGCCGTGGTCTGAGGGCCCGAGGGCGTGCTTGAAGACTGCATGGAGGAGAGGGCTGAGGAGTTGAAAGAGGCGAGAATGGAGGAGAGAATGTCCAACTGCTCTGTGGAGGGGCCATGGCTGGGGCCACTGGCCGGGTCCTCCCTAGCTCTGAGCAGCTGTGGGGGTGGCCCAAGGGCTTCTCGTGAGGGGTGCCGGCTAGGCGCCCGGTCCAGCTGCTCCCGGGAGTTCGAGCTCTTAGACAGAGGGTCCAGCGGCCGAGATGGCAAGAGGGGGTCCCTTGAGAGTTGTCGCTGGGGAGATAGGGGCAGAGGTGGGGGTTGTGGGTCAAGGTCCCGGGTGCGGCGGGGCGGGGGCAGCGTGCTCAACCACTCTCGAGGCGCCCCTAAGTCCAGTGCATCCCGTGACCCGAAGCGGCCAGCCATGGTCCCAGGGTAGTCCCTAGGTGGCTGCCTCCGCGGCAGAGTGCTGCCCCGATCTCTGGGCTCCAGTCGGCCCGGTGCAGCATCCATGCGTTCCTGGGACCCTGGCCGGCTCAGGGGACGTAGAACAGGGGCGGGGGCCTCTTCTAGTCGCTCACGGCTCAGTTGCCGCCGGAGGAGCAGGTCCAGCTGTTCTCTAGAAGAATAGCGGCTGGCTGGCTGTGAAAGGCTGCCTGTGCCCCCTCCCACATAGATGCGACCATAAGAGGCAGCTGGCACAGCACGGTGGCCCAAGGTGGC